CCCCAATTCTGTGCATCTTTCGTGTCCTTCGAGGAAGGCAGGCCTTAGCCTAAGAAGGTGAATCATGATCAGTCTCATGTCTCTCACCGAGACTGCTTTAGACTTGGGCGTGTGGCCTACTTTTGGCCAATGAGAAATGAAGGAAATGCTATTGAGGGGCTCCTTTTTGATAAGGAATATGAGGGAAGAAACAGGCCCTCTTTGGCACTGGATGTCATCTACTTGTCACAGCAGGAACTGCTGCAGCTGTTTTGGTACCATGAGGAGCACTACCCAGAAGGGCAAGCCAGAGTAGAAGACAAAAGGAACCTGCGTCCCTAGAAACCACAGTGAAGTGATGGATCAGTCAACCTTGGAACAGTCAACACTACTTCTAGGTGAATTAAAATGTGACATAATATAGGTTACTATTATTTACACCGCTTTTAGTTGGATTTTTCTGGTACCTGCAGCCTAAAGCATCTTAACTGATAGAACCAGTAGCAGTCCCCCACCTCCTCACTCTCAAAAGCCTCACCCCCAGACCTGTCTTTACAGCAGATATGTATTTGGATTTAGCAGCTCACCTCTTCAACTGCAAATATTCAAAGGTTACACCTATTAGTCACTCTCTCCTTAGTATGAATTACTCTAGTCAGAGTATCCTCCTCTCAAGACAATGCTGGGGGGCGTCGCACAGTTGGAGAAGAAAGGGGGCCAACAGCGGGCAGTGGGAGTGAGGCATGAGGATGCAAGGTACCTGGAGATGTCATAAAAGGAAGCACCAGAAAGCTACGCTTTTCCTCACCCTGTCTCCAAGCTGCTGGTGGCTAAGGTGGCCCTAATGCCCTCCTTGAAATCACTCTCCTCCCACTAACACACACAAGAACCTCTCTGGGGTTTCCATTCCTAAACCCAAGGTACTATTCCAGGTCAGGACTCAGGAACAAAATTATAAGACTCATTTCAAATATCAAATGAAATGAGCTTTCCAGTTAGGCTCTATCTTCGTTTTACAGAGAAGGCTGAGCCAGGGAGGATGTTTTCCACCGGAGACCAAGCCCAGCGACAAGGCAGCACTGTCGGTGATGCTGTTAAGGCTGACGGCACACGGAGGTGGTGACCTCGGCCTCAGCCACTGTTCACGAGCCCCTCTGTACTCCGCACTCGGCTGCCAGGCCGTACTTCCCAAGGAAAGCATCTGATGCTTATCTCCAGGAGTAAGATGCCAAATCTTTATTAGCGCTATTATTGCTATTGACCTGCCGGCAGCCATCACTTAGGGAGTCAGCGAGGCTCTGCGTGGAGAGGCTCTGCGTGGAGAAACGGTGTCAGCTGTCCTTCCAGCCCAAGTGGGTCCTGATGGCACTGCTGGGGAGAGGCAGGTTCCTGCCTGACACAGGAGTGGCTGCTGGGTCTCAGGACACCCAGGGATGCTCCAAGACTCCCAATTCACTCCCAGTTCACTGCCAACCATGGCTGTTGCGTAGCCACTGACAGGCGCTCCAGAAAACTCGGGTTTCCAGATGGAAGCCCGGTGCCACTCAGGAACCCTGCTCCCGAGCCCTGGTCAGCTCCCTTTCCATCACACAGAGCAGCTATTCCAAACCTTCACCCCCATCCCTGGCCTCCAATGCCACCTCCTACCCCCTCATTCTCAGCAGATGGTCTTGCCTCCTACTGCAGTGAAAAAAATAGGGCTATCAGGCTGGTACAACTCAGCTGCCCACTTTCCCTCCGCCATCCCCCTCTGCCCCCTCATCTGTGTGCAGCCTCACCACCTTCCTCTGGGCTCCGAACAAAGGCTGACCGAGGCTAATACTTCCACCCAGGTCCTTACAGCCTGATCCCTGGAGTCTCCCCCAGGACCACACCTGTCAGTTACTTCTCTCTCCTGGATCTCAGCGCCCCCCCCTCAACTCCATGGACACCCTCCCCATCAGTGACAGCCTGCTCCAGTCCCCGCCTCTAATTCTGTGCTTTGTTCTAAGTACCATAGGACCCTCCCCACTGTCACCTGAGTGACAACCATCTCCACTCCCTGGGGCCTCAGTTTACCCCCAGCCCCTCACCCCATTCTCCTTGCTCACCCCAAAGACTCTCAATCACCAAATCCGAGAGGCCTTTTCCCGAGCTTTCCTAATTTTATCTCCCATTTGACAACACTGAGTAGTTCTGGCAGACTGTCTTTTCCCAAACGGCTGCAACAATACCTCCCATTCTGATGCTCTTCTAGAACCTGGTCATGCCCCCATCAAGAAGTAGAGTATTCCCCAACCCTTTAAACTAAGGGAGCCTCTGTGACTCTTGTTCTTACCAGCAGAATAAGGAAGAAGTAGTGCTATGTGCCTGCCAAGGCTAGGTCATACAACCGTCATGTGCTTTCCGCCTGATTCTCGCTGGACACTCACTCTTGGAACCCAGCCGCCACGCTGTGAGGAAGCCCCAACAGCTGTGGAGAGGCCTACCTGGAAGGACACAAGGCCCTGCCCCCCCAGCCCCAGCTGGGCTGCCAGCCATGTGAGTGAGCCACCTGGAAGTGGATCTTCTGGTTCCGTGAGACCACCCAGCCGGCACCACACAGAACTCGTGAGTCTCTCCACCAAGCCCTGCCCAGATTGCAGATTCATGAGCAAAACACATGCCTGCTGTTTTAAGCTGCTCTCTTCTCTATCTCTCTTCTTGAAATTATTTCCACGGAATATAGCAGCACTACTCAGTTCTGCTTCTCCTCCAATCTCTCTGGCCATGCCTTCTCCGTTCCTCCAGGAGCTTAACTTGCTGGGCGTACTCCCTTGATGACGGTATTCCTCCCAGCTCTTCCCTTGTCCTCTCCTTTTCTCTTTGCTCCATCCTTCCAAGTGACCTCAACTACTCCCCCAGATTCACCTGCCTACCATGAGGCCCCTTGCTGCTAAATCCCGCATCTGTAGTTGCAGCCCGAATGCAGACCAGCAGAGCAATCCCAATCCAAATCTCCTGACAGCAGTATCTGAGTTCTCCTGGTGGTTCCACCACCCATTGCACCCAGCTCGGAGATCATCCTGACCCCACTGCTCTCATAAGGAACTGCATTTTCCATCTAGGCTTGGCCCATGGGCAACACTGGTGGAACACTGGGGGAGAGAAGGAGGTGGAAACCTGCCACCTCAAATAGCATCCACGGCTCCACCTCCCAGGTGATGGGCCCTGAGACTGTGTGATCCACCTCCCGAAGGACCAGCCCGCCCTGGGCCAGCTCTACCAGGTGACCTCAGCTCCCGGGCTCCGGAGAACCACCTCTTCTCCTCGTCCCTCCACCTTGAGGGTGGCAGTGGCTTTGGCCGTTGGTAACTGTCTCACTGTCCCATTTGGCCTCTCTGCAATTTCATCCCCTGGGAGCCCCATTTTCTCTTTTAAATTCCCTCTGTTGGAAATACCTAGCGTAATTTTGTTTCCCATTTTTGGGACAGCGAGTGTCCCAACTGGACCCTGACTGATACACTGGTTAAAGGCACCCAAACTTAATCATTTAAGCTGGAAACCTACAATTTGTTTTATTCTCCTCCCATTCATTCCTACCAGTATTTGCCTCCACCCCATGGAAAGCTGCTCACAAAGTCCTGATGACTCTGCCCCTCAAGCCCATCCCTCCTCTTCAACTCCCACTACACTGCCCTGGGTCACATCATTATTTTTGGCTCAGACCAGTGCAGCAGCCCCTCCATTAGTCTCCCTGGCTACAGTCTTTCTGCCTTCCAGTACATCCTACAGACTGCCGATAGACTTTTGTTTCTAACGTACATCTGATCTCGACATTCCCCTGATTTAAAATTCTTAAATGGTTCCCCACCGACTACAGGAGAGAATCAGATCTGCTCAGTTCCATAGAAGATCTATATTTGCTGTGTATACTGTTCTATGCCTTAGCCTGGAAGATCAGGCCCTCCATGTTGTCCTGCCTACCTTCCCAGCCCCATCTGCAACCACTCCCAGCCGTACCACCTGAACCAGCTCAAGTTCTTCTCCAAGCCCACCCTGTTGCTCTAAGACCGGGTCTTCACACAGGCTCAGCTATCCTTCCCCTGCCCCGCTGTCTCACCGGCCCCTCCGTGAAGCCCCGCTCCCAACAGACCAGACAGGGCTGAGGGCACTAGGCAAACCCCCTTTGGCAGAGCTCACATCCCCACACTGTGACTGTTCATGTCCAGACCTGCCCTTCCACTAAACAGGGAAACCCCCCCGGGGAGGAAGATGGAGCTCCCTCACTCCTGTGTCCCCAGCACCCACCTAGTGCCTAGTGCAAAAGAGACCTTCCATGCGTGTGCAAAGCTTACTCAGGGTGAGCTGAGAAAACAGACCAAGAGTCCAGAATGGGGAAAGAGAACAGGGGAAGGCAGCCTGCAGAGAAGGGGCAGGACACGCTGGCACGTTAAATGCCTGCCCTCCTGGGCCGGGTGCTGACCACTGCCCAGCCGGCGCCCAGCTCACCCTCCCTCACTCCAGCGACAGAGCTAGAGAAGTCCAGAGACACCGTCTCCACCGGGACTTTTCCCAGGAACGTTTTTAGGTAGACAAACTTGTTCACTCAGAACAGGAGATAAGCAAACATGGAATCTGCGTAAATATTTCTATGTGATCCTGTCATTTTTACATCCCGTGGTTGACCACATGCTCCCTTTTGTTATCATTTAACAAAGTAAGATGTAACTTTTCTGCCCCCAAGGAAATCACTTTTGGTTCTTCTCATTTCTTCAACATCCACCTGAGGTCTCATTGGCCCCAGCAGCTGTTCATCGTGTTCTGAGACCATCCCCAGATAGTTTCTAGGAACAAATAAAGACGAACTGACCAACCCAGCCACGGGTCCCCCAGTCACAGCACTGTCACAACACCTCCTTTGTCATGGTCTCAAGCTTTCCCCTCCCGGCCTGCTGCTCAAAGGGTCACACTCCACCCAGCTGCCTTGAACCAGTGTCACCAAAGCCACCTAGTTTCCAGAGAAATATAAAATGAGGACCAAGGAAGGGGCAGGCTCTCACCTCCATCAGGAGAATGTCCTTTGAGCTCTGAGCCTGCACCTTTGGATGCTGGACCTTCACGGCCACTGTCCGCCCATCACGCAGCACCGCCTTGTGGACCTGGGCCAGGGAGGCGGCCCCCAGAGGGGTGTCATCAAAGCTCACAAACAAATCCTGAATCTGTCAAAGAGTGGAGAGAGAATGGAGCAATTAAGATGACTCAGTTCAGTGAGAGGGGATGGGCCGGGCCAGGGCTACCTGATGTCCCCCAATAGATTTTCTGCTCTACCAGTTGTACGCCAACCCAATGCCTTGCCTGGGCTCTTTACTGCCATGGAGATTCACAGCAGGAATATGGAGGGAGTGAGAGAGAAAACACACATGGAGGGTGTGTCCTCATACGCATGCCTGGTGCCCTGAGCACCTCCAATTCAAGGCCAAAGAAGTGCTGTCTAGAATGTTCAGGACTGAGGACCATCTGCTCATTTAATTATGCACCATTGCACCCCTGGGGCTGTTACATATGCACATGAAATCAAGAGTTAACAGAACCTGGGGCCCAGGCAGCCCAATACAGGGATCAGATATTCCAACCCACCAACATGGGAGAGCTCAAGGGACCCCAGTTTGGAGGTTCTAAATCCAGTAGCCATCTCTTGTTCCTGCCTGAACAGCAGGCTCAACACGGGTCCCCCAGCCCACCCTTGGCCTGACCACCTGGCAGAGACCCCTGGGGTGCACACCCCAGCCTCACTTTTGGTCCCCACCTGTAATGCCACCCAAAGGTGGCCTTGGGCAGATCCCTTGCCCTTTCTCTACAAAATGGAATATGTGTTCCTTACTCTTCTGTCTTCTCTTCCCTTCTTCCTTCCCTCCTTCCCTCTTAGAAATGCCATACCAAATTTTCCTGAAGGAAAAAAAGTCTTTCTGACTTGAGTGATCACACCGACATGGTCCAGACATGAATATTCTACCAGATGGGAAGGAGACTCTCAAAAGCCTTTTGCAAAAATGTCCAAGGCTGAAATTCTCACTCCCTCCATTTCTTGAAGTCCTGTATAGCTTCCCAATCCTAGAAGATCCAGACATGCACACACACACGCACACACACATATATGTGTACACGCAGGATTAGTCCCACGGCCCTCCTTCTCACATCCCCCAGGCTCTCACGCTGAGGCCCATTCAGTCCATGCCCCAGCTTCCCCCAACCCCCGCTTCTGCAGCAGGCACTCTCTCCTGCCCCTCAGCCCCCTCCTCCCCTTGGACTTCAGCAGTCAGATGACCCTTGGCCACCATCCCATCCCTCTGCTTGCTAGGCTGCACTGGCACCTTGCTAATCTCCCTCATAAATCACTCCCTCCAGTCCTGTCATCATTTTGTAGCTTTCACTAAACTCCATCCCATTCATCAGCATCCTTCAGAGGCCAAAGGTCCAGGCAACATGGGAGGGGCCCACACTTCTCTGTCACGGGAGATGGGTACAGATTGGCTTCCCTGTCTCCCTTCTTCTTCACTGGGTATTTTATTTGTGCCCCTCCCAGTGCCTACCTCCCCCACCCTCCTTCCCCAACCACATACTTGTCTTTTTCCCTCCTTCCTAGGTTCGAGGTTCCCTGAGGACCAGACTCTCCCCATGTCAATCATCCTGGGTCTCTCCCTTTATCCTAGACTTGGGCTTGGCTTGGGAGAATGAAAGAACCACCATCCTTGTAGACCCCATTAGAACATCAGCTTCAAATGGGCAGAGATTTTTGTCTGTCTTGTTAGCTGCTGAATTCCCTGTGCTTAGAATAGCACCAGAGGGACACCTGGGTGGCTCAGTTAGTTAAGCGTCTGCCTTAGGCTCAGGTCATGATCTCGGGGTCCTGGGATGCAGCCCCGCATCAGGCTCCCTGCTCAGTGGGGAGTCTGCTTCTCCCTCTCCCTCTGCTGCTCTCCCTGGTCATTCTCTCTCTCTCTCTCTCCACCCCCTCAAATAAATAAAACCTTAAAAAAAAAAAAAAAAAAAAAAAAAGAATAGCACCGGAACTAGTTGGTGGCAAATACGTATTTGTTGAAAGACTGAATCCACTATTCTCTCCCTTGGAGAGGAACCGAATCAACTCTTTCTTCCTTTTCAAATGGCTGGACCTTCCTACTCCCACACCCCTACTAGTCTAAAGGCCTCCAATGTAAAAGCACATGTCTTGTATGGGATTTACCCAGGTGGACTCCACCTATTACACCAGTGTGGGTGTGAGACCCCAGTCTGGCCAATCAGAACCCTGAATACCCTGGGTCACGCTGACTGGTTCAGAGATGGACACGTGACCCAACTGATCCAATCAGACTCAACTATTTCACTTTTGTTTGAACTGTGGGAGAAAAGATTCTTTCTCTCTGCTGAACTTGAAGGTAAAAATTGAACTTGAAACCTGGAGCTACCAGGAGTCCCAGAGTAGCAACAAAGAGGAAAGCAGAGCCAAGAGACAGAGAGAGTGAATCTTGGTCACCATGGTTGGGCCCCTTGATCTAGCCATGCCTGAATACCCACCCCATATTTCCCTTTTTTGCTTAAGTCAGTTTGAGTTGTTTTCTGTCACACAGGACTGAAGGGGCTCTGACTGTAGTTCTCGGGCCCCATCTGGGTTAGGCAAAAGAAACATGGGCATGGTGCCCAGCACCCTCAAGAGGCTCAGTAAGTGTCAGTTCCTTTCCCTCCCCTCCCCCCTCCCCTCAGTGTCCCCTTGCTGGGACAGGGATCCAGGAATAGAAGGGAGGTAGACTTCAGCAACATTCCCAGCCATTTCCCAGCCATTACATAATGAAATGAATAAGAACTGCCTTTAGAAACCGTCTGGTTGTTCCTGAAGGAGCACCAAGGAGAATGCTTTCTGGGGCAGATCTGTGAACTCAGACCCTCTCCTCCCAGGCAGCTGGAATGACCCCATCTGCCCACTGCAAAGGGACTTGGGGGTCATTTGACCCCACTCCCCACCCCAAGCCTCCACATGGCTCCCTGGTAACATTGGCTCATTCCCTAAGAAGGACAGCCAGACTTCAAACCAGTGTCATTGCAGGGACGTTGCAGAGTCATTGCAACTAAAGAGTGACATGGCATCACTAGGGCTGTGTGGCAAGAACTGCTGCCAGGAGCACTCCGGGGAGAGGGGAAGGAAGGAAAGGGCCGAGGCAAGCATCTCTCAATCTCCCAGGTAAGAGGAAGCCCGGTCCACCATACCCCCAGGGACTGAGAAGGGGACCTCCCACCATTCCCTGTCCCCACCAGGGGAGGCAGGGGGTCTGGAGCTCAGGATACCACCCAAGCCCATGTGCCAACTCAGCACTCTGAACGAGGCCCACCTGTGAGGACCTGCCCTAATCCCCAGCTTGACCAGTGGAAGCAAAGAGAGGCATGGGAAATGCACCACTCACTCCACACAGGGAACCTGTTGGGCAGATCCCCACCCCACCCCTGGCCACCCACCACCTCCCCAGGGCCCCTGCAGCCATGCTTTCCCCTCTATCAGGAAGCAAGTCACACGCCCACACCCTCCTGTGCTTACACACACACACACACACACACACACACACACACAAAATAACTGATTGCTAGTGAATGTTCCTAGCTGGCTTATAAAAAAGGTAATTAAAGATTGGTGCTGCAGCCTGTAATTAAATATGAATAAAGTATCTCTAAATGGAACCTTGATACAAAGTGCTCAGTGGAAGTACTTTACGCTGATAGATAGTAAGGAAAAATAGACCCTGTCCCGAAAGCAGAATTATACCCCCCATGCAGCTGACACCAAGGCCACCCCTCCCATGAGGCCCTGGCCCCCAGCCCTCTGAGCAGAAAGCCATCAGCAGAAACCAACTGCAGCATGGGCAGCAATTAGATTCAAGCAGGGCCCTTAGCTGCCTCCAGTCACTCGCAGAAACCTGTCTCCCCTTCTAAGCCTGTCTTTCCCCCATTCCTCTTTTTTTCCTCTGGGTCTGGAGGCAAAATCAATTAAGTAAAACAACTGCATTTTAAAATGACTAGTTATGTGCTTTTTAATTACTGTCAGCCCATGATTCAAATACATCGATGTCCATGTCTAGAAAAGGAAAAATAATCAAGAAAAAAGCTTCTCCAGCTTTGTATGATCTGGTTTTTTAGGGTGTATGTGTGTGTGTTTAAAAGCAGGAGGTGGTGGGCGCCTGGGTGGCTCAGTCGTTAAGCGTCTGCCTTCGGCTCAGGTCATGATCCCAGGGTCCTGGGATCGAGTCCCACATCAGGCTCCCTGCTCGGCGGGAGGCCTGCTTCTCCCTCTCCCACTCCCCCTACTTGTGTTCCTTCTCTCGCTGTGTTTCTCTCTGTCAAATAAATAAATAAAATCTTTAAAAAAATAAAAAATAAAAATAAATAAAAATAAAAGCAGGAGGTGGTGTTTGTTTTTTTATGAGCAGAAAACATCAGAAGGGCAAGAAGAAATATGTCACCCCCCCGTGGCTCAGGTTAAGACTTCAGCAGGCTGGCATCAGCTGGGGTCCAGGGAACCGAGACCACGTGACTCTATACCCAGGTACAGGGCAGAGAGAGAGAAGCTCCAGAAAGCTAGGTCTACAGCTTCCCACAAAGCCAGTTCTCTGGGCAATGTTTCCAAAAGGCCACACTGGGGGCAGCCAAGCACTGGCCAGGGTCCTCATTTCACCCAAAATAAGGTAACAGGAAGTCAGGATCTTCTGTAAAAGCCATAATATGACTCCTGGGAGGAGTTTCACTAAGTCTCTCCATCCGCCAGCCAGCCTCAGGCCCCTCACCAGCCACAGGAAGGGCGATGTCCTGGATTTTCCAAGATGGCCCGATTTCAAATACTCCATCCTGCTGTCCCCAGTGTCATGCACGTCAGACTCCTTCTGGATTTACTACATCAAATATCACTGACGCAAGATAATGCCAACCAATCTAACAAACCCAGAACCGGCTGGCTGCAGATGAAGAGACAGGAGCTGGCCTCAAAGCAGGCAAGTCCAGGCCTAGCTGCCAAGGCCAGGCAGTTCCCAGTTAGGAGCTGGGAAGACGGCCCATGGCACCTGGGGCAGGTTACCATGGCATCAGCAGCAAACAACATCTGGCTCTCGAGGTCTAGAGATGCCCCTCTCCTCATGCCTGGCCTAGTGCCCGCAGCCAACCATGACAGTCTGATGGGGAG